AGCAACACAAGTAAAAGAGGGCAAATTTGATCATAGCTTCACTAATCTGTGAGCATTAATTTTACAATAGACTTCGTCTATTGCTTGGGCCATGCAATAGATGCGTGTTCTTGAATGAGTGGGATTTCTAGCATATTTACTTCAAATGCTCAGGTCATGTCAATGGTATGAACCATTTTAGGGGTGGACAAAATTACAATTTAAAATCAGAATATAAGCATAGCTCACTTACGTAATTGAAACTTTTGAGATCGTTTATTTACTATTTGAGATAGTTTATTTACTAGCATATTTACTTCAACCGCTCAGGTCACAATGGTTTGACCCATTTCAGGGGTGGACAAAATTACAATTTAAAATCAGAATATAAGCATAGCTCACTTACGTAATCGAAATTTTTGAGATACTGATTCAACACACTATTATTAAGCACCATTGAGTGGCAATGTGCGTTTAACCCTTTAACGCAATGATGGGTAGACATGTTAGTTTAAAAAGTACCGTGTAAGAAGCCAGCTCACCCCTGTTGCTCGGATGGCCCTCAACAACAGTATGATCACACAAACTCATCTCTTCTGTACAGGGAGCTGAGCGAAAAATTCGGGATGAGGAGAAAAAGCAGCTCCGGAAGAAGGTCAAAGGTCAGACTGTCGGCCAGGGTCATGATGGTGAGGGTCGCGTCAATCAACCAAACATTCATTTATACAATGTGGTGCCATAATCCTTAGATGCTGTATCTGTGAATCATACATTTTGCTCTGATAATGGATAAAATGCACCTTAGTCATATCAGCTCTCGGTATGACTGTAAATGTACGACTGTAAACTTGCTGATTTTGACTTGAGTCACTGGTTTTCATTCACCCTGTTAGGTAAGAGAGGAAGTTTCGCCACTTTATCTCAAAAGAGGCCAGATATTACACTTTTCAAAACTTTGTCGGACCTGGAGTCCCAGCCTGTCCTCTTCATCCCCGATGTCCATTTGAACAACCTCCAGAGAGCCGGTCAGGTATGATCAATGCAGGTCTTAAAGTGACACCAACGTTGTTTCAGTACTGAATTTTGGGGGATTGATGTGGAATACTTAGAAGTAATTATTAAAGATCATAGTGACTTGTGGGATATTTTAAAAGCACTGTTATTATGTCTATAATGTTTTCTCTTTGTTCATAGGTGTTCAGTTTTGGTGTTGAAGAAATGGAGAGTGATGGGTCAGTGTCATTACCGTGATTGTCCTCGTTTAATCTAATTGTATTGGTATTTGGTATTTAGGGATGCAAGATGGCTTTACCACATGGTAGTTTTTAGTGGTATTACATCACTTAATTTGAATATTAAAATAATTAGAAATGTACATAACCCAAGATTTAACCCTAAAACCATATTCTGGACAAATGTGGGCAAAATAGTTTTGTTTTTAAAAAATAATTCCCTTGATCTGAGCGGTTCAAGACTTGGTTACTTTTCCAAAGTTTGCCTCCTGAACACACACAATTTTTTTTTGACTCAATTCTACAATGTTAAGTGAGTGAAAAAAAATCCTCCTTAATCTTGTATTTGGGTCAAAAATGGGCACCCATAGAAATGAATGGGAAAAACTGTAATTTAGAGCATTCTAAAATAAGCCAAAATAAGACACCAGGTGACAGCAAAGTCACTTCATCTTTAGGTTTTAGCTCTAAGAACTTATTGGAATGATATGTTAATGTAGTTAAAAAAAGAAATAAATTAAAACATAAAATAAGCATAATTTACATAGAAAATGTGTTACTTTTTGAAGTAAATAAATTCAAAATTACCCCCAAAATTTACAAAAACACCATAAATGGATAGACAAAACTTTGTCGAAGACAGTGATATAACATTTATAATAAATAAAAATTAGGATCACACCTAATAGCAATGTAAAATGTAATCTTTAGCAACTCTCTGAATGAGTGTCTGTTTTCTAATGCTGTGATGCCTAAGTTTGCTTAATCCCTGATTTTAGTTGAACTGTTTTATTTTTAATCTGTTTATGCAAAATATTTTAGAATTATTAGCCAGTTACTCGTTTTTGTTCATCACCTTTTAATCTCATTTTATGATGCATCACCACTATTTGTGTTATTAAGCTCGGCAAACATCAGACCAGTAGAATCAATCCAGTTTGTTTCAAATATATCTTCATTTATTTCTTGCGGTAATAATTGTGACATTGAAATGTTTCATCACAGAAGTATAAGAATTATAGATTTATCTGATCTCTCATGCAGGCCGACCATGAAAAGATCGTTCCCTCATCGGTCAGAGGATGATGTTTCTCCGCCCGTCAAATACAGCAGAGAGGACAAGAGAGGTATGTCAAGGCAACAGAATATGTCCCATTCTTCTATATTAATGCTTTTTGATATCCATTTATATATATATATGCCTGCACATTATGTTTCTGCAGTCCTACTGTACGTAAGGAGAGAATCTGATGAGGTTTTTGATGCACTGATGCTGAGGTCTCCAACACTGAAAAGTTTACTTGAGGCAGTAAGTACAGTGTCACGCAGCACATGGGATTTACACTTAGTTTCTTAAAGGGATAGTTCACCAAAAAAAGGACTCAGCCTCATGTCATTCCAAACCTGTAGGACTTTTATTCATCTTCAGGAACACAAATAAACACACTGTGTAACACACAAGAATGAAGCTCGTTGGTTTTTGCAGAAGCTTTACCACAACTTATGTGTGCATTGATAAATGTTTATATGTGAATAAAATCTGTTTATCATATAAAGTGACCTTGTCTCTTTATAAAAATTTTGGCTAATCTGCTCAATTCACATGGGATTAGTTTCATGATCTCTTTATGAACTTTTTGAAGCTTCAAAGTGGTAGTTGCGTAGACGGTCAGTGGAGTAAGAGAAAGCTCTTGGATTTCATCAATAAGACCTTCATTTGTTTTCCAAAGATGAACAAACGGGTTTGGAACGACATGGCCCTTTAAGAGGAAGAAGTAATTGGGTATTGCACTGCATTTGGTAACGGGTCCGATTACTTTTCCATTGAATACAACAGAGTTGGAAATAAGCCATTCACTGAGGTTTTTTTTTGTTTAAGCTGCTGATTTTAAAGTCTTTTTCTCCCCCAAGATATCAGGCAAATATTCTCTTCCTGTGGAGAAGATGACGAAAATCTATAAGAAAAGCAAGAAAGGGTGAGTAAATATTTACCTGTACAAAATCCATTCTCTCAACTTTTATCAGTGCTAAAAAGCAAAAATATATGTTTTTGTATTGTTTTGTTTACTTTCATTCAACCACTAGTATCCTGGTCAACATGGACGACAACATTATTCAGCACTACTGCAACGAGGACACGTTTATCCTGGCCATTGACAATCAGGCCGACTGTTTCCGGGTCACTCTCACTGAAATTTAAGTGTTAGTGCCGCAGTAACCTGGTTCTACTGAGAGAACCTGATTGGGACCCTGAAGCAGCAGCACACAATTCAATCTGTGCATCAGCGCTCCTATTGGGTTCTTATGACATCTGTATTAGAAGATGAAAACGCCTTCGGAAGTCATTGACTTGGGAATGCACTTCAGTGGACCTGCTGGTACAGATTAAATTGTTTAAATAAACATGATGGAACTGTGGAACTATGATTATCATCATATGTCTGAACAGCACATAAAAATGCTCTTCCAAAGCACTATAATATGCCAGTCAAGTTAAATGGATATTTTTTTCTCTTTGTGCTGTCTCCCCCTTGTGGCCAACAATGTGCAGCCGCCAAAAAAAGTACTAGATTGTATCTATACTTCGGTGATATTTTAACATTAAAGAGATCTTTACCATTCAAGAAAGACATATGTGTTTTTAAATTATATCCACAACAATGTCATGAATACACTACTCTTCAGCTTATGTGTTATATATATAGCTGACCCACATTGCTGATTGTGTTATATGTTGTTATTGTTTTTAAACATACCTTGTACATATTTTTTTATGGCTGTATTTTATCTGTTGAATAAATAAGTCCAGAGCATCTTCACTGTTGTATATACACGTGTATTAATTTGGTAAACTGTTGACTGACCAATTGAAATTTAGGATCTTGTGGGCATTGAAAGTGGTTGTAGCTGTTAATTGAGGGACAGAAAGCTCTCAGATTTCATAAAAAAAAAAAAAAATCTTCATTTGTGTTCTGGGGATGAACGAAAGTCTTACGGTTTTGGATTGAGGGTGATTAATGACTTTTCAGAATTTTCTTTTTTTGGGGTTAACTAACCCTTTAAAATTTAAAGTATTATTAAATATCAACTATGTTTTTGTTATAAATTTGCATGAAATATGTAGGCTACGTGTCCTTGCTTTTACTATATATTAGTTAATTGTTTGTTTTTGTATAGTCTGTGCTTGTTCAGGAAAAAGAAGAGAACTGAATTTAAAACCACTTATCATATCACACACTCTCTTTGTCTCTTATTTGCTTCCCAGGCTTTAGGTGTGTAATTATGCAGAAACAGGTGTCTCCATCCTGGTCTATGGATAAGGAGGTTCGGTCTTTAACCCTAGGGGGATTTGCTTGCTTTGAGTCTGATAACTGCTGATTCCTGTTGCAGTGTTTTCCAATCGCAAACAATATGAATATTAAAACCTTAAGCATCTGACAAGTTCCCAAACTGGTTTCTGGTGTTTTCTGAGAACCATGATGCATAAATAGGCCTAACCCAGAGCTTGAGAAGTACTATGTTGAGTTGCAAAAACAACCTAGACTATTTATTTGCTTTTAAATTGTATGTATTAATTTAGCATTTGTTTTAGCCAATATGTTGATATTTTGTACATTATCTTGCTAGCTAGCTATCACCACCTTTGTAGCTTGTACTTACTTGTATCTTGCATTTGTGCAAGTCTATGCCATATTATAGGCTATGGGCCTATCTGTAATATATTATAATTCACATTGTGACTAAACTAAACTGAAAAATTCACTCTTATTTTGAACCTGCCCATGAGGAAGAGCTCAGATCAAAAGTGAAAGTAGAATATCACCGAATGCAACGGGTTTCGAGGTTAGGCAGGTAGAGTTAATGTTTTTGAATAAAATGCGTTTTAGCTCACATATAAATATATGCATATAAGCGACATCTAGCCAAATTATTAGTTATATTGTCAGGAGCTGCTCGGGGATGTTAACACTCTTCGTCTTCCTTTCGTTGGTTTCTGGTGAGTTTTCGACATTTATTCGTTGGCCTATTCCTATATTCAGCCGAGCTGCTTTTATAGATCATGTGCATATAGATTGTATATTGATTAATGAAATATAAACGTAATGTTTTACGACGTTAAATAATCTATTAATGGATTTCGCTTTCGGTTTTATTTTCAATAGTCTGATTTTTGTCAGATTTGGCTCCCCCTGCTGCGTGAAGTGAATGTACTGTCCTATAATGTTAAAGGGATAGTTCACCCCAAAATGAAAAGTAGCCCATGATTTACTCACCCTCAAGTCATCACAGCAGGTGTACATGAAATTCTTCTTTCAGACAAATACAATCAGAGTTTTGTTAAAAAAATGTCCTGGCTCTTCCAAGCTTTATAATGGCAGTGAACTGCGTTTCTGTTTTGAAGTCCATAAGTGCATCTATCCATCATAAAAGTGCATCTCTCCATCATAAAAGTGCATCTATCCATCATAAAAGTGCAGATACCCATCATAAAAGTGCATCTATCCATCATAAAAGTGCATCTATGCATCATAAAAGTGCATCTATCCATAATAAAAGTGCTCCACACAGCTCCAGGGTGTTATTAAAGTCCTTTTGGTGCAAAGCGATGAGTTTGTGTAAGAAAAATATTCGTATTTAACTCGTTACAAAGTAAAATTGTAGCCTGGGTAGATGCACTTTTATGATGAAGAGATGCACTTTTATGATGGAAGAGGCACTTTTATGATGAATAGATGCACTTTTATGATGGACAGATGCACTTTTATGATGGAAAGAGGCACTTTTATGATGAATAGATGCACTTTTATGATGGATAGATGTACTTTTATGATGGATAGATGCACTTTTATGATGGACAGATGCACTTTTAGGGACTCAGAAACAACCAATCGCTGGAGGAGCCAGGACATTTTTAATATAACTCTGATTGCATTTGTCTGAAAGCAGAAAGTCATATACACCTGTGATGACTAATTTTAATTTTTGGATGAACTATCCCTTTAATACGGCTACTGTGCTAACTACTGTTCTGTGGTCACAGGTCTGGAGGGAGCTGATGTGGTCCTGTCCTGCTCGCTGATCGAAGAGGGGGGAGGGATGGGAGGCATGATGGGTGGGGCGATGTTCAAGCGCACTCCCTCCACGCTGGTGTTCAGGGATCTGGTTGGGAATGCTGACCTGTCGCCAGAGCTTGTGACCCCATTTAACCCCCCCGAGACCCCTAATGCCGACGAGCTGATCTTTGAGTTGATGTGTAAGTGCAGTGAACCTAAAGTCAGTAAGAGAATATGTCTAAATCAAAAACATATAGAATATCTTTCTGTATTGCTTCTCACCCCCACAGTACCATCCATCCAGATTCCGAATGCAGACTTGCTTCTCCACGCTGATTGTAATGAACAGGAAGTGGTTTGTGAGATCAGCCGTTATGTTCCTCGTGATGCTGATTTGGATTCCCTCCCTGCTCATTTCATTGGCTCAGTTCAGCTGGACGGAGGCGGGATCAGTCTCACGCTGGTCCTCCAGACCCTTCACAGTGAGACCACACAATCCCAAACCCCACCACTTGTGCAGAGTACACTGAACCTGACTCTCAGCCAAGCAGGAACGTTGATGACAGAGGGTAATGTTGAAATATATTATTATTATTATTGGACTATGTGCATAAATACAAAGGCTGCATCTGAAATCACATACTTCCCTGCTAAATAGTAGGTATAAAAGAAGTGTGTCTGAATTCACAGTACTCATAAAAGAATAGGCAAAAAGTATGCAGTTGACCTACAGTACTTCTTCCTGTTAGATACTGAAGTGTGTATATACAAAGGAAACTTTACTATCCCATAAGGCTACGGGAGAATTTGTGAATGGCAGTGAAGCGATGTAACTGACGCTGGTTGGTCACATGATAATGACAGCATGGCAAATGTAGTGCGTCTGGATTACATTCATACTACACACACTCAAACTATATATAGAACATACATTTTTAGCGGCCATAAGTAAGTTAGTAATTACTTATTCAAATTAAGTGTTCAAGAGTGTATGTGGTTTTGGATGCAGCCACAGTCTCAAGTATAGCTATTTGCTATATAGTTAAACATGTTGATGGAAAAAAACCTATGAGATGGGAGGAAAAATTATATTCAAAGCTCACAAAACTTTGAGTTCTCTCACAAAATGTTGTGTTGCCCTGAGAAACTTCCAGGAGAAACTTAGATGACACAAACATAGTTTCCCATCCAAACTCTTTTTCTTTTTTTTTTCAAGTTTTATGGGTGAACACACATTTTCTTGGGGGAACATACAAGTTTTCTGATTTTTTTATAATGTACATTTAGTTTTAATGAATGAATTTTAATACTTATGCATGTGTAATACAAATGAGAATGATAGTTGTTTCTAATTGGGCTAAACCCTGCCTATAACACACAAAACAAACACTACACATAATAAAAGATCACAAATTGAAAATAAACTTTATATTCAATGATTTATTTCTTTTTGAATAGATAAAACTTTCATGAAAACATTTGCAAGAGGTTTGTGAAAGGTGTCATTGCACATTCAGCTTTATTCTCATTGCATTTACAGCATGTTGGTAGTGTGTGGTGTTTTGAGCATTTCGAAAAAAATCGTTGCCAGATTCTTGTTATGATTTGCTCTAACTAATCTTACTTTTTGCATGGATTGAAATGATATTTTTAACATTTCTCCACCTCTCTCTCTCTTCTTAATATCTCTCCACCCAGTTGTGTTTGTGGTGTTCTCGCGAGTCCCATCTATAGTGGCTCCAATAGGGGCTGATGTGCTTTTAGACTGTGGCTTTAGGCAGAAGGACTCTGTCCCAGGGCAGGAAGTGGCACTTGAGTGGCGCCTACAACATAGAGGAAATGGCCGTAAAATTCTTGATATGAAAGCGAGGGAGGAGACGGACATGGCACCAGAACGTAAGTGAGAAGTATTTAAAGGGATAGTTCACTTTAAATTAATTTTTGGTATGTTTTAGCTTGCCTCAAGGGCCTCCAAGATGTAGGTGTCTTTCTTTCCACAGTATTTTCAATTTTGATATTATTAGGTCAAACCGTTCTTGTCTGTCAGTCATATAATGGAGGTCTATGGTCACCACCTCAAAGAGCATGCACAGAGAAGTCCAAATTAAACGTGATTTAATGACTCGTAAATGTAAGTATACATTGATGGCCTAAAGCCTGTTTTATGCTTCTGCGTCGAATCGACGGCGTACCCCCGCAGACCCCTATCCGTCGACGCGAACCCCTCTCCGACCCCTCCGCCGTAGCTCGACGTGCACCTCCAAAAATTTGTAACTACGCGCCGAGGCGACGCAGACAGCAAGGGCTTTGATTGGTCAGATTATACATCAATTCAGGAGTTTAGCTTTTCCGATTTCCCCCTCCCGCTATTAGCGCTATTTTTAACATTTGTACCCTCGTTCTGATAATTATAATACTCTTATAAAGGAAGTAAATAAAGAATTAAACGAAAAATAAACTGTTTTTTTTATTTCATTGTTAATATATATGTCTATATTCTTTTCTTTCTTTTTTGCTCGCAATAAACTTCAATCAATCAATAAATCGACGTTTGTTTTGAAACACAGTTTGTTGTTTATTTTCAATACAATGTTCACGGTTACATCATTGATAATACAGTACTAACCAAGTCTGCCACGGGACACATTAGGGGCCATTCACATATCGCGCCTAAAAACGCGTAGAAAACGCTAGGCGCACGCGTTCTCCTTTTTCCAAAGAAGCGCTAGGGCGGTTGCACTCCGGAGGCGTCTGTCGTTGCTAAGCAACCATCAGCTGCGCTCTCCATTACATGAAGGAAATTTCAGCAATGGATTTCCACCACCGAACAACCCTTGCTGTAACTCTGTTACAAGATTTATTTACTCAGAAAAGTAAAAAAACGCCGCAGTGTTTGGGTGCACCCCATACTACAAAAACGCAAGAACCATGGGGAATTTCACCAGCTGATTCAGGAACTCCGCCTGAACAATGGGAGGTTCAAAGCCTATTCCAGAGTGGACAAGGACCAGTTTGATTATATTTTAAGAAGAGGTAACAAAAATGGCGAGGAAGCTGATTGGTTGGTTCGTGTCACGTGACCTACGCTGCGCTTGCGGCATTCTGAAAAGTTGAGATGTTTTTATCTCGATGCGGCGCGGACGCGCCTGGAAAAAACGAGCGCGTCGCACCGCGACCGCGTCGCTTCCATTATGAGCGCGCATACCGCGCGCCTACATTTGAAATAACGAACTTGAGCGCGCAAAAGACGCGATATGTGAACCGGCCCTTATCCTGCCATAGCACAGTTCCATGTGGAGACTGAAAAAAATCCTTCAAGTCATTCCGAACAGGTACGTTATGGCAGCTCGGGTGGAACCTTTATTTTACTGTCTATGGGTGGAACGGGCCCTGGACATCCGTGTTGATTCTGTGGGGATAAAGTTTTTATGTCGTCTCGTTATTCAACGTCGATTAGGTCCAGCTGGCAGCTGCTAAAACAACATTCTCTCTCTTTCGCTCGCGGCGCACGGAACCAAAGAGATTCGCGAACCCCCCTAGCGTTCTGGCGGCGAAATGCACCGCGATGCACCACAACCTCACGGAGAAGCATAAAACGGCCACGACGCCGTAGTGGTGACGACGTAGCTACGCCGTGGAGTTGACGCAGAAGCATAATGAGGCCTTAAGACACGAAACGAGCGGTTTGTGTGAGAAAATGAACAGTATTTATATCTTTTTTACCTCTTGTAACCACAGCCACGTCCAAGTGATCTGAGGCCGCGGGCGCATCGGTCTGCGCAATCGCTGGAAAGTGCCCTCAGATCAGTTGGACGTGGCTGTGATTACAAGAGGTAGAAACTATATAAATACTGTTCGTTTTCTCACACAAACCGCTCGTTTCTTGTCTTAGGCCGTCAATGTGTACTTACATTTACGAGTCATTAAATCATGTTTAATTTGGACTTCTCTGTGCATGCTCTTTGAGGTGGTGACCATATACCTCCATAATATGACTGATAATAATATCAAAATTGAAAATACTGTGAAAACAAAGACACCTACATCTTGGATGCCCTTGAGGTAAGCTAAAACATACCAAAAATTAATTTCAAAGTGAGCTATCCCTTTAACAGATAATTAAAGTAAATGACATATTTGTAAGCATAATATTGTACACTACAGTATTTGTGGACCGGGAAGGCACGAGCGCTGAAGCAGATCTTCTGGTGAGGGACGGGAATGCGTCTCTGACTATGCAGAGGTTAAAGGTCACAGATGAGGGCACGTACATCTGCACTGTCGGCTCTGGGGAGTTTCAGACTCAACAGATCGTGCAGCTGCACATTACACGTGAGTCTTGAATGGTCAAAATATCCCAGATGTTTTCTGACATTCTATAAAGGTGTTTCTTCTGCTGTGCATAAAAGGTTGTGCCACAAAATAAAACAAAAATAATTGAAGAAATCTCAGAATTGCTCGGTATAAACTTGCAACTGTGAGTTGTAAAGTCAGAATTGCGCGTTTATTTATTATCACAATTCTTTGAAATAAGTCATCTCACTATTGTGACTTCATATCTCACAGTCAGAATTGCACATTTATATCTCGGAGATCTCACTTTATTTCCCAGAATTGCATCTAGGCCTATATCAGTTCAGACTTTATACTGTAACTCACAATTATGAATTTATATCTCACAAATATGAAAAAAAACGTCAGATCTCCTAGACTTGTAATTCTGACTTTTTTTCTTGCAATTGCAAATTTATATCTCTCCTAGAATTGAGATAAAGTCACAATTCCGAGTTATAATTTCAGAATTACAGGAGATAAACACAGAATTGTCAGAAAATAAATCTGAATTATAAGATAAAATTGTTTAAAACTCTTAAAGGCATAGTTCACCCATAAAGGAAAATTATTAACATCCTAAATACACAATTTATATTTTAAAATATGTGTTTTTTCATTCTTTGTTTAGATTATCATATTTTTAAGCATAATACTTCCTATTTTATAATGTTATTTCATTGTTACAAGTCTAAAGCTGTAAAAAAAAAAAGTAAAACAAATCAAAAAACTTTTAATGTGAGCTGCCTTCCAATAACAAAAAGAAAAACTGAAATCTGTTTTTATAAAAATCCAAACATTGGATTTACAGTCAGTGTTCAAGGTTGAAGAAACCCGTAAAATTGATCACATCCATAAATCCTACATTTTATGTGAATGTAATTAATCAGAGATACTGTATCATGCCATATTACACTCCATCTTTGCCCAGAACCTCCTCATGTCTCACTGTCTGAGGAGAAACTGATATTTCAGGATTCGACGCCTCTGAAACTGATCTGTCACTGTCAGCGTTACTACCCTCTGGATGTGCAGGTCAGCTCACTTTCAGAACAGCCACAGTACAATGCACTTTAGTGTCCTGACGGCTCTGTGCTCCTGTAGGTGGAGTGGTTTTCCCAAGCACCCTCTGCAGAAGAGCCCGTCTCTTTGACAAAAGAATCCTCTCTCTCCAGCCATCGGCAGCACAGTGATGGGACATACTCCCTCTCCTCTTTCCTCACCCTACGGCCCGACGAGCACCCTCCAGGGACGGTTGTCACCTGTAGGGTCTCACACTCCGCCCTAGAAACACCGAGTGATGTCAGTCTGACTGCTGAGAAAACTGAGCCAAGTAAGTTTTCCTTTTTTTTCAAATATGAATTTTTTAAAATATAAATTTAATGTTTATCACCTAGCAAAGTAGTCATGGAGAAAGTGCCACTATTATGCTTTTTTGAATATTTCCTTTCATGTAGTGTGTTTGCAAGGTTTGCAAAGTTGCAAAGTGTATACTTCTCATTAATGAAGTTATTGTTTCCTGAAAGAAAGGATTGATTCTGAACTGCTGAACAAATTTGGATTTGGGCTGGAATTGATATGATAAAACCGATGCCAACATTACTGTTCTTATCTATGTGTATCAAGTGCTGAGGAAGCCTCTCCGAAGCCGAAATTTAAATATGTTGATAGACATTTTTTAAGTGGGTTGACCAATCACAACAGACAGGGCCATCTGACCAATCAGAGCAGAGTAGATTTGCAGAAAGGAGGGGTTTAGAGAGACTGAATCTTCGAAATAACCGTTTTCAGACTCTTTGAGAAATGAGGGGATGTGTAATTTATATTATGAGAAAATTAAACTGTTTTTTTTTTTTTTTACTTGGATGCATGTAAACCTATTGTGAGAGAGTCCAAAATAAAATTAGGAAACTTTAAAATAGTATAATAGGGGGACTTTATTATGTAACATTTTAGTGATTACTGCAAATCTTATAAATAGTCATGAAATCTGTTGCATATAAAAGCTGTGGAACTTTTTGAATTTAACAGGAAAAGCCCTCTGGACTGTTATCTTAATGTTGGTGATTTCAGTGGGGTTTTTGTATCAAGCATTCAGAGGTGCAGGTGAGTTTCGTTTTGTTATTTTGTTTTTTTAACACATCAACATGTAACTACGTATATATAATATTAATTCAGCAAGGATGCATAAACCGTGACTGTAAATAGTGAAAGTAAAGACTATTTTATATCATTGTTAGAATTTTTTTTTTTAAATAAATGTTATTTTTAACTTTTTATTCATCAAAGAAGAAAAAAAAAACAATGTTTCCACCGAAATTTTAATATTTTCAACATTGACAATAATAAAAGACTGTAGTGTGATGCTGACAATTCAGCTTTTGCCACAGAGGAATAAAATACATTTTAAAATAGAATAAAATTATTTTAAATTGTAATATTTCACAATATTATTATTTACTATATTTCTGATCAGGAACTTTCAGAAACAAATCTTTTGAAAGGTACTGTATACCACAAAATGTTAAATTTTTTTATTATAATAATTTGTATTATTATTATTGTCTTTTAAGAGAACTGAGGACCCGTCTTCATGAAAACTTGGAAGGAGCCATTTTATTTTTTTACTTGATCCATCAGTCCGCAACTGTCTTCCAGTGGATTTATTTTCATTCAACCGTGGTACGTTTGTTTAATAGAAGTTAAATGTCAAAAAAGGTTTCCTGCGTAACTTATTCTGTAAGCATTGTTCATCTTCTGATCTACTGGATGTTGTATATTTGTTGTACATGTTCCTTGTGTTTTATAAATAAAAACAAGAAACAGATCAGGTTTTGTTGATGTTTTTACTGGCATCATCTACAGTATCAGGGACATACAAGCATGCTGTTTATGCCATCACAGTCTAATCCTGGCATCAGGGCTGATGGCATTACCCCTGTGATATGGTATATGCTTTCATTCATTCATATTTATACATATAACCAATTGATCTTATAAGAGAAATATAAGACATGTCTATAGTCTCCAACAGAACAAAATATAAAAGTCTGTGCTGACGAAGGAATGTGAACCAAGAGCTGTATTTTGCATGGCAGTATAGATTATAATTTATGCTCTTTTTTTGCATTGATTATCTGTTATTTTCTGTACATTTCAGTACATTTTGGCAGGGTTGTAGCATTCACAACTTGTTCCCCGGTGAGGCTTTTCCACAGTACAGGAAAATTAGGCTTATTTTGTACAGGCAGTTAATAGTAATAAACATATTAAAGGAGTCTAACAGTGGGGTTATTCTGCCATGCAAGTCAAAAGACAATAAATGAACACCTTAAGTTTTCTGTGTTCTCATTTTTCCCAGTTAACACAGTTATAGAATTGTTTTACTGATTGTTTTCATTAACTTGTGCACCTCCAGGTAAAAACACAGAAAAAAGTACAAAAGCTGTCACTGGGGCGGTTCTCTTTCATATGTAAGGATGGGGTAATAACGCAACATAAAGCACTGAGGCTTTCCCCTGATTGCTGCCCGGAAAAAGATTCAAAGCTACAAGAGTGTCAAAAACGGCACCATCTGGTGGTTAGTTACAAATGAAAGCAGTCAAAAACCTGTGAAAAAAAAGCTTCATCAGATAAAGCAGCCACCACACACACTCGGTAGTTTTAAATGAGATCTATTAAGCAAAATTCACGTTTACCTGGTGTTTGAACATAAATGTGTGTCGGCAGTGTGCCTATAATGGTAAAAATCCACGACTCCTCTCTTTTAATCCCCATAAATCATCATAGGCATATACACTAGATGTCGCCTTCAGGTTCTAAGCATGCGTTAAAACCGCCGCCATCTTGGAACAGGGGTCTTTATAGGAAGTAGCTAGGTAATGTCGTCGTTTACCTGACTCAGTGAAACAATTAGCTAAGTAGATAAAGTTGTTGCCAAGTCACGCCCCGATACGGGGCTTCACTGAAGATTGTGCTCAGGAAATTGTGCTGTGTGATATGTTCCTCAAAGATTCAGTTTCATAAAAAAGAAAAAAAAAATCAGTGTCATATGTAACATCAATACTTATATGTACTATTTTACCGCCAGAGTGACCACTTTTGTAGCTTTTTTTGTGTGTGTAATCTCATTGCATTCTCATAAATGATCTGTCTAGTTGTGTGTTTTTTTTATTTTTATTTTAAATCTGTATCTTAAAGGTGCAGTAAGCAATTTCTAAGAAACACTGTTGAAAGTGGATCGGACCGAGAGCCACAACACACTTAGCCAATCAGCATTAGGAGGCGTGTCCACTCATCTTGGGGGAGGAGAGAGCGAAAGTGAGTGAGAGGGAGATTTGAAGAAAGACTGTAGATAGAGAGATAGCTGAGAGACATTACAAAAGAGAAAAGTTTAGATGATTACCACTGGAGAAAAAAGGGTTATGATCAGGGAGGAGTTTTAGGACCCGGGTTAATATTAGAAAAGCTTTCGAGAGCCAAGACTGAAGTGGGAAGATCTGAAACAGACGCAGAGGTTGAGTTGCTTCTGCTCCATACGTGAGTAACATCGGTTTTGCTATGTTTCATAGAACCAAGATATGCCGTTGTTGTAATGTTAGCTAACGACAAACTCTTGCTTGTATATACTCTTGTGTACTGTCTGTTTTTTGTTCTTCCTCGTCGTTCCTTAATCATTTTCACTTTATTTTGCTTCGCTTTAGCTATGATATTGAGACATCCACTCTTGCTTTGCGTCTTTGTGCATTTTGGGGGCGGAGCAATGAAGAAAGGTGTGTTTAATTGGGTTGATTTCAAATATCAACATTGTATTTCTCAGAATCACTTACTGCACCTTTAATTACACATAAAGAATAAAAGTCAAAGGCGACAGCTCATGAATCGACTCTAAGTAACAGGGGAATGGCAACAGCAGTAGTGATAATAGGATGGGGGCGTATCTGCAGGGACAGATTATGTCAGTATCAATTTATAAAATTTCTCTGAAAGGTCAGATGAGAAAGCTTTGGCATTACAGGGACAGAAAGAATGTTTACCTGACTTTACTATCATCTATTCCCCCACCAACACACACACACACACACACACATGCATACTGACTCTTTGTCTCCTTGTCTCTCTCTCTCTCTCTCTCTCTCTCTCTCTCTCTCTCTCTCTCTCACACACACATGCACTACCGTTCAAAGGTCTAAAATATCTTAAATGTAATTTATTCCTGTGGTGGCAAAGTTGAATTTTCAGCGTCATTACTGCAGTCTACAGTGTCTCACCACACTATCCTTCAGAAATCGGGATGTCGATTTGGTGCTCAAGATACATTTCTTATTTCTTATTTTTCCACGATTTTTTGAGAAATAGAAAAGTTCAAAATAACAGCATTTATTTGTCTTTGCTGTCACTTTTGATCAATTGTATGCTTCCTTGCTAAATAAAAGTATTGATTTCTTTCAAAAAATAAAAAATCTTGCAGACCCCAAACTTTTGAACGGTAGTGTGCACTGGATCTCCTTTTTCATCCTCCTACCTTGTCTTCTTCACAAGTGTCACCACATTTTTTTCCTTCTTGGCTTCTCCCACTTATTCTTAATCTGTTTTTGCTTCTGCTCTCTCTCTCTCTCTCTTTGCTCTTTCTGTGCATTCATGTATGAATGTCTGCAGAAGGTTTGAATAATGCAGGAGATTCCAAGTGGGAGGCAAAAGGAGAGATGTAGACAGAAACTGAAAGATATGGAGAGCATGTGACGTGTTCATTCTGATACAGGAGAAGAGCAGACATCTACATACTACATACACACAAACACACCCGAGGGTGCAAAATGTCTAAATGGAGAGACCTTATGATTGAAGAAAGGAGTATTTGGGAAATAGGTGGAGCTCATGATTGTGTTTTCTTCGTTCATTTTCTTGTTTGTTGCAGGTGGATCGGCTCAAGTGAAGAAATACACTAGATGAGGAAAGATAAAAAGGGAGAGTGTGAAAAAAGGTGCTCGATATTCCATTGCAAAAAGTGTCTGTTGTCGGTTCAGTAGCCATACATAGGGTATGCTCTAAAAAAGGCTGGGTTGTTGGGTCAAATATGGACACACCCAGCCTTTGGGTAAATTTATTAAATAAAATTTTTGACCCAACATTTGGTTTTGTCCATATTTGACCCAAAATTGGGTTAAAACATTTTTTAGAGTGTACCATTATGCATAACTGCCCTCAATGAATAATTCACCGTAATGATGCATTATGGAGCTTATGCGGAGTTGGTCCAGTCTGAGCTCTAAAGTCACGCCGGCGGTCGTTCTGAGAACCAGTACTGATGCCTCTAATAAAGCTAAACATCACTTAAAGAAACCTGAGCATCCCAGAATGCTCTACGTGCCCACGACAGGGGCAACATTCAAAACTACCTTCCTTTGCTAAAGATGTGTAAATAATGGTATTAGATCATGAATAAATAGTACATAATTTCTTGAATACGATAAAAATAATAAAATAAAAATGTCAAAACAATAAATCATCAAAGATCAAAGCTTTAAAATGTCTATATAAATCAGAAATCCAGTTAAATAATAATAAATGTTAATAACAGGTAATTGTGTTATTATAATGCAATATGATATATAATTGCCTTTGTAACAACTATAACTGACAGACGTTCTAGAGTAATAAGATAATAGGATATAATGGCAAAGTTGTCTGATCATTATGTGTAAAAGCATGCTTCAATTAACCCACTAAATGATTCGAAACTCACAGAAAATGATTCCAACGAAGAGGACTCCAATGACACCCATAATAATCATCATCTGAGGGAGATGATGAAAAAACAAAAAAATAAAATTACACAATTCATCCCTGACTCTACATTACAAGAAGGAAGACAGCAACACAAACACAATCACAAACATCCTGGTTATCGTTTAAGTGTATGTAAAATATATTTTAGGTGCCTGCTCGAGCAACTCAGGGACTGTGGGATATTCACGTTCCTGAGGAGTCGGAGGGCAAAGACACATGTGGATTTATTTCCAGTCTGATTCAGCAGCTATTCGGGAAAGAAAGTTTCTCTACACCACCAGCTATAGAGAGGGCTCACCGCTCTCCAATGCATCGGATCAAGGACAGCGCCAGGCCAAGGGTGATTGTGGTAAAGTGTCTCAGTCTCCGTGATAGGCACAGCTTGAGTATAATGGTGATTGTATCCATATATTCCCTGACTTTAGTGCTGCTTTGCTCAGCAAGCGACGTCAATTCGATGATATCAAGAAACAACTCAACAACGTAAATTGAAATATACTCTGATTTACCCGGCCACTCTCAGGATTATCCTCAATGGGAAACCTCATAACTCCAGCAGAAGCGAACTGTTTTCTACAAGGTGCTGTATAGGCCTAACGCTGACTGACTCTACTTATTCGACGGAACTTGCTGTCAAATGGCGTAATCTGTAAAATTGTGTAATTTAATTGCTTATAGATTTTTTTTTTCCTTATAATTTTTTTTCTTTTGAAGGTTCTGATTTGATTTAAGTAAAATTGTATTCTATAAGCCCTTGCTGATAAAAAGTTGAAGCATATTCCCCTTAGTTGTATGGTGAGATTTATTTATTTTTACAAGAATGTGCTTTCTATTGTTTTGTTCATATTGGGAGTTTAAAAAGTAAATAATGTAAATACAATATTTAGTAGACTATTTATTGGCAGATAGTCTGTTTCCTTTTTTCTTTTCTTTTTTCTCTTTCTTTTCATTGTTTTGGATCATGCAGTCTGTGCTTGTTTGTGTATGCTTGGAGAAACTAGTGTGGATGTATGTGTGTGTGTGTGTCTATGTGTGTTGCTCTTCCTCCAATCCCATGTCCCTCTCTCTTATCTACTTCTGAATGACCATGGGTAAAGGTTTATTAGTTATCCACTTAAATATTAGGAGTCTACCTCATAAAATTGATCTTCTTAGAGCATGGCTCACTTATAACAAACCTGCTGTTATTACTTTGTCTGAAACCTGGTTAAATAGTAATGTACGCGATGATGAAATAAGTCTCGATGGCTATAATGTATATAGAGCAGACAGAGGCAGTCGTGGAGTTGCTACTTATGTTTCTTCAAGTTTATCTTCTGAACTTATTATTGCTAGTGAAAGCCCCATGTACTTTGAATGCCTTTTTGTTAGAATATGTTTTCATCAAAATAAACGGTTGATCATAGGAAACATATACAGTATAGACCCCCTAACTCTCCGTCCGAATCAACTAATAATATTCTTCGCACTATTAATTCTTTAAATTGTTCTGACGAAATTATAGTATTGGGAGATTTCAATCGAAATTGGGTTGATAGGTCCTCTTTGAAAGAGAGGAATCAGTTTGAAAGCTTAAATCTTACTCAATTAATACAGGAGAGTGGTGGGAAACTCCAGGTCTCTCTTAGACTGGATCCTGGTTACGCATCCCAATAGAATTGCTGATTCAGGTGTTTTATCTGATTGCTTCAGTGATCATTCAGTTGTCTTTTGTATATGGAAAATAAGGTTACCTCGTCTACCACCAAAAATAATCAAGGTAAGACAATTTAAAAATATGAATAACGATGCATTTATTCAAGATCTGTTATGTATTAACTGGGACAGGATGGATTTAATTCCTTATTTTACATGTAAAAATACATTCTTAATAAATCCCTAAACAGAAATTTAAAAACATCCTCTACAAGGCAGTTTACTTTAATATTAGTCTAGATTCGGATCACTAACAAAAATCCTACTCATAAAGACAGTACACAAAGAGATGAATGATGTCCAAAGTTTCTCTGCATCAATCGGTAATTAGCAAAACCCAGAAGCTCCAGTTTACACATATTAAACTAATTAACACTAGCAGCTGTTCTGAGGGAAATCGCTGAGCACAGCATGAGCAATAAGCACTGACCTATTTACTTCTGCACGTTATTTCATTCACACTATATAGAGCTCTGAGTACAGTAGAATTATCTATATAGGCTACTATTATTAATATTTTGAAATCGTTTCTACAAGTATACGTTTTTCATCTAATATTTATATTTTATTTCAGCTTTATTATTATATTTTCAGAATGTCCCACCTTGCAGTTCTTCCACCAGTATTTGTTCTTGAGTTTGGCAGCACAGCTTTCGAACTGTGAAGCCCCGGCCTGTAGAGCATCTGCCCTGTCGTCTAGCTCAGACAGCTTCTGGTCTCGCTCCAGAACCTTATCCACATTCACACGCATGATATCCACCACCTGCAGACCACAAACACACAGAAGACATGAGCCAGGAAACATTGACACTGGACACTTGTGCTGCAAAAGCATTGATTCATTTAGGAAAGAAGTATACAGAAAGTCTGCAAATCTGCACGTCTATGTCCATCCATAGCTAATCCGTCCATAAACACTCACTCACCTCCTCCACTTGTGCTTGCGTCTGCTGTAGTCTGCGGTTGCTGGTGGTGTTTGGAGGGGGTGGAGGAGCGGTTCCTCCGGGGCCACCTGGGGCTCCAGGAGCACCTGCAGGGTTGGCATCATCTGCAGAAGACCTGAACATCCAAAGACAATCATGACACATAAAAACTGTTGACTGAATTTGTTTAACCCTTACAAAAATTAACCATTTGTATAACCCCAGTTGTAATTTAAATACCATTGTTAAACTATGGTTGGTTAAGCAAAACCATAGTTAATTTATGGTTACCATGGTTTAACTACAATAACCAATTTTTTTGGTTTTATTTGTTGTAAAACCATGGTTCATTTTCATAATATCTCTTATTTGATGTTCCAGTTATGTCGAACACAAGGTATGGCTTCCTAAAAGAGTTTACTACATTAATTTGTACATTCATTGCTCCTATTATTTTAAGGTCTAAATTTCTGGTCGACCGATATGGGTTTTTCGATGTCTACACAGGCTGATTATGTATACATGTAGGCTAATCAGGATAAAGGTTCAATGTTTATTATCCATTGGTTATTTGGTCTTTATAACAAGGGAGGTCTAGTTTATAGGCTATACTGGCCAACCAGAAAATGTAAGGCCTGGTTTTCACAGACAGGGCTTAGATTAAGCCAGGATTAGGTCTTAGTTCAGGATATTTAAGTAGCTTTTATAAACATGCAGAAGAAAAAACATACCTGGTGTGACAAAACAATGGCACTGACATATTGTAAGATAGATCAATGGAAGATGAGTTCAATTATACAGTTTAAACATGCATTTTAGCCTGGGACTAGCATTAAGCTTGAGTTTATGTGAAACAGGGGGTAAATATAAACATTTAATCGTGACAGTTTAGTGTTAGGCAACTGAGAGATCATCCATGACTCCAGAATCTCCAAAAAAATCGATAAAAAGTCACTCACACTCATGGGAAATTATTGAAAACTGTTTAGCTACAAAGTTAAGTTACGTATCGTAACGTTAGCAAAAAAATAAATAAAAAATAGGCTATATGTCTGCGAAAATACTTACATTCTCTTTCAGAGTACCTCACCGAAAGGAAAAGAGTCAAATGGTGATACAATTAAAATGAAAACAGCGAGGAAGCGGTTGAAATGTTTAAATTAGGAAGGCTGATGTGCAGGGTTGAAGCGGCTTGCTGCTGATGCAGGATCCCCGCGCGACTCATCAGTGCGATTGGCGCATTATCGAGGCACGCGCTGGACAGAAGCGGTCGCGTGCTCGGACGCACGAGCACATAAATCCTTTTCAGTTTTCTCTACAAAAAGTTACAAATTTCAACGTGAATTAGAAAAACACAATGGCTAATTATAACATACAGAATTCAGGCTAATTTTGAGTGCTCTCACTGGATTCTGTTCTTCAGGCTGGTTTAGTGCAGTAAATGTGCGCGCGCTGCGCTCCTGCACTGCGTCGCTACTGAATCTGAACTCATGAAGAGGATGATGATGATGATGCGCTGCGTGTTTTCACTGCCCCCATCCTCCCTCTCCCTCTCCCTCTCCCTCTCCCTCTCCTCTCTCTGTGTACTGCGGTACTTCAGTGAGTTCAGTGTGCTGAGTCGGCTTTTTCTTTCTAAGGGGACGTTTCTTCTCTCTGAAAACTGGTTTCTCCACATACAGTTCTCAAGTCCTGCGAGTGTGGGTCGCATAGGCCTGGTTTCACAGATATATATTGCATTTTAAATAATAGAACATTTCTCAGTGATCGTATAAAACAAAATTCCATTTTTCTCGGTTTAATGAAAACCTGACATCTACACATTTTCCAAAGTGGACTATTTAGGCTGCTTCATTAAAAATGTGACATTTAGACGTTTTCTTCGGCGTGGATCCAGGCAAATGAATCCTTTTCACCTTGAAATTAATAAATGTTGTTGTTTTGTTTTTTTTTTTGTTGTTGTTTTTTTTTTTTTTTTTGCTTTTTAAATAATAGA